CGTAGGAACCATTCTGCGTGGGGGCTGCTGAGGAGTTTCACAGAGTCCCAGAAGTCCTCACTGTCCCAAAGAGGAAGCTTTTCATGCAATTCCTCCCAAATACCGCTATGGAAGTCCACCTTCATCGGTAGGCAGAGAGGGGTGGGGAGGGTTGCACTACTGTTCGATCTTGGGTCTCTGATATGGGAGATGCTGGCCATTGAGTCTGTGACCCAGTGGTTCCCAAGGGACCCAAGGACTGTTTGCAATCCAGACCAACCCTGTGTAAAGAATTCTAGCCAGCTGCCCCTTGCTGAAGGCTGGAAAGTAATTTTTCAACTGCGGTCGAAGCCCTCTGGAGCCTCTGCTGGGTCTAGATTTGCAAACTCATTCCACCTGAGTGCATGCTGTCCCCAGGACTGGCTGAGGGGGAGGGGAAAGCAACCTCCTCCGGGAGGGAGCTGCTGATGCCAGGTTGGCTGAACACCCTGGGGATCTGCCCTCTGCTGCGCCTGCCAGGAGCCCTGGTCATCCACTTCTGGCTCAGCACCTGGGCCTGAAGCAGGGGATTCTTCCAGCAGAGCTACCTGGGAGGGATGGGGGAGGAGATGAGCTGCTGGCTTTTTAGTTCTCATTAGCTTTTCTTTGGCTTTAGCTGGGGAGGGAGGAAAGGGCAGGTGGGAGGGGGAGGGAGGGTGGATGACAGCTGGCTCCCAGAACTTCCTGATCTCCATCTGACTTTCCTGCTTCATTGCTTGGCAGGCAGGACAGAAATGCCTGTTGCAGAGATGCCACCGGGCACATGCCAAGGCTCCCTCAGCCCCCTGCCCTGCTGTTTCAAGTCCTTGACAAAGTTCAACTGTGACGTTCTCTTAGGAAGGGGTGACCTGGTCCTGGTCCTCATCTCCACCCTCCTGTGTGGCCTCCTGTGTGGCCCCATGTCCCATCTTTGGAGCCCAAGGTTATCGCTGATGAGGCTCTCAAGAGGGCAGCCGAGGATTCGACTGAGTTCCTGGGCCAATGTGTCCAGGGAGGCTAATGCCAGCGTCACTTGGAGCTGCCACTTCTAATTTAAGTGCCATCACTCTGAGGAACTGCACCCAAGGAGCAGGGGACTTTCTCTATCTTCTCCTCCCCAGGACGATGACTTTGGCCACCTTCCCCCGAAGAGACAATCTTGTCACTACTCTTGAGTCTTGGCTAACGGCCCTTTGCATCCTCTTCCCTCCTCTCATCCGTCCCCCTGATCCTCTATGTCAGAGTCAGCTCCTGGGAGGCGGGTCCCACTCTGTGGTAGACCCCAAAGTAATAAGCATGCTAAGAGAGAACCAGGAGGGTGTTTCCTGCAGCTCTGGTCACCCTCACATTTGTCAACAGCAAAATCAGAAAGACGGCAGGGAATGGCAGGCTGGTTTGTGCTGAGTGGCAGGAAATAGTCTTTAGTTTGAGAACCTTCCTCCTCTCCCCCCCTTCCTCCCCATCGGTAATGCCTGGGACTTCCCACCAAATAACCTGAAGATGGCTGGTGAGGCTAAGGTAACCACCGTGGTGGGCTAGATGTTTCCTACTGTGGCTCTCATATTTTATAGCCACTGTGAAAGGAAGCTTCCTGAGGACAGGGTCAGGGAGGGATAGGCTCCATTCATTTGATGGGAGGCCATGTCTGGGGCCCCTGGACCAGGACCACCATGGTGTGAGTCATTCATAGCACAAGGGCAGCTGAGGGTCAATAGGAGCTGAAATCCAGCCTGGGCTTTGGTTGGCCAGCTGTGCATTTGTGGGGCTGGGCCCGTGAGAGGGAGTCTTGTTTCTGTTTCTGATAGAGCTGCAACATGGGCTAGTTACGTCATGCCATGACTTTCAGGTTATGTTTGGTTCTGAACCTGGGTCTTCCCTGTCAAGTAAGCAGGGCTTTGCACAGGCTTGGTGGTCCCAGTCACCAAAACCACACAATGCTTGGCCCAGCTAATCCCCAGACATTGGCTTTGTACAGTCAAGGTCTGGGTGACTCAGAAAGAGGCTTCTATTGAAAGGAGAAGCTCACACAGAATTTTCTCATTTGGGGGTTCCAAGGCCCCTTCTGCACACAAAGGAGCATGCCCCTAGCAGCACCCATGAACTGCATTAGGCAACCCTCCAGGATCTCATGTAAAAGGGGGCATCTGCACCTTCAACAGGTAATCCCTCTGTTCATGATACACCTGAGCCTTGGAAAGAACAATTTGCTTTCTGCATGGGAGAAATTTGGATTCAGATTTCAGTCTTGATAAGAAGCTAGTTGACTGAGCTAACCAACCATCAAGATCAACATTTCTTGCTACTCATTAGTCCCAAGTAGCAGCTGGTCTCATATCCTTGATCTACGAGCTGCCCAGCTTCACGCACTCATTTTCCCATTATTAGCCCTAGGACATGGATGGTCTTCCATACATCTTTCCCAGCACAAGGAAAATGCTATTGAACTAGCCTTTCATTGAGTTTTATAGTTCACAGTATGTAGCAGACGTACAGGCATATTGGCTGATTAGAACTCTGAGCTGTTGAGACCAAGTTCTTGGGATCCAGCCTCAAACACCCTGCGAGTTGCCATTGTTCTATGGCCACGGGCTGTTCCCTCAAACTCAGCCGCCTCTCGTGGGGATGAGGTGTCATCCCAAAAGCCACAAGGAGCATGGATGGATCCGTGCAAATCCATCTCCATTTCCACCACTGGAACCAAAGTGCCAGAACACACCACCCATTAAAGTCTTCATAAAAGAACAGCAGAAAATTTAGGATTTTTTTTTTTTTTTTTTTAAGTTTGGGCCTTTTATCATATAGATGCTAAAAGTTTCAAAAGCTTGGGAATTCTTCTCCTTCAGTTGGCCCTGAAGACACCTCTGTACAATCTCTCCTGTGCACACTCCACACGCTGGGAAAGTGTCTGGTGCTTTCTCATTCCAAACGCTTTGTTAACAAATCTTGGAGGCCCACTGAACCAACACCACTTCTGGGATGAAGGGACAGCGATAAATGCTCTTCCCAGAGCTTCAGCAAGATTATTCTCGCCTTTCCGGATACCCACTTCTCATGCAAAGCAGCCTGGAGATCTTTGGATGTCTTGTCTTAATACGGGTCTTTCTCTCTCACACCTCTGGCTCCTGCAGGCAACCTGGAGGGCTCTGCCTTCCCAGTCTCCACTGACAGTCTAAGTTGCCTTGTAGTACACTCAGGGCCTGTCCACATATTCCCTAAGTATTATCTGCCCACACATCCTGGCTCAAAAGAGACGGAGAGGAATAGGTTCCTACTGCTCTCTATCAGGCCTCGCCTTAGACAGCCTGTGGCATCTCTCTTTTTTCTCCCCTGTTAATCCTCACCTGAGGATATTTTCCCATTGATTTTTAGGGAGAGTGGAAGAGAGAGGGAAAGACAAAGAGAAATATCGATGTGAGAGAAACACATAAATTGGTTGCCTCCTTGCATGAGCCCTGACCAGGGCCTGGGCCAGGGAGGAGCCTGGAACCAAGATACATGTCCTTGACTGGAATCCAACCTGGGACCCTTTTGTCTGCAGATTACACTCTATCCATTGAGCCAAACTGGCTCATGTCAGCCATGAAGACAGACAGGGCACCAGCAGGCCTCCCATTCTGTAAGCTCTGACTTTTTAAGAGGAAAGACCATAGAGAGGGAGACCAAAGAAGAGAAAAGACGAGCACCCGTATTTTAACTCTCATCTCAGGCCATTATGATGTTTACATCTAGCAAATTCAAAATAATGTTTAAATTCAGCTAACGTGCCTCTAGTTTCACCTGGGTAAACAACTAGGTTGCTTTCAACCCAGAATTCTTAGATTTTATGCCAAAAGGATGAAATAAAGATGTGAATCGTGCAGCTATCTGGTTTTACAAAGACTCCTCTCTTCAACAGAGACGGGGAAAGACAAATGGGCATCAGAGGGCTCTACCCTTGGGAAGAGAAGAGTGGCCAGTCCCATTGTGGGATGCCTGCTCCTGGCTGCCACGTTGGTTCCCTCTGGTTCGATATTAACAGCGCAGGCTGGGGCCCAGACACTCAGCATCGTGTAAGCGAATGACGGGTATGTGAATGAGTGGAACTGAATGCTGTGCATCAAGCCCCATGCCCCAATCTTACAGAGAAAGGCCCGGAAAGGAGAGATGGGTCTGTGCTGTTCTATAGACCATAGAACCGAATCTCCGCTGTGCCCCATGGGAAGACTATTCATTCTGCACGCTCACCTGTTACCATGGGGCCACCTCTGTGCCACTGCATCAATCTCTACCTCATCTGAACTCAGTGCGCATGGGGTAAGGCCACTTCCCCACAGGAACAGTGAACCTGCAGCCCATCGTGACTCCCTCAAGGCCTTGCCCCTGGGAGTGCAGGGACAGAAAAGGGACCTGCTTTCCCTCCTCCTCCCCCAGGGCCACCTGCTTTCTTCTCCCTGTCACACTATGCACATGAGGCTGACGAGGACTGTAAGTCATGCAGAGGCCACTAACACATACCAGCTAGACCACACGGCCAGCACCCATGCAGCACGGCCACCTCCTGCGCACGCGAAAGCCGCCTACACAGCAGCAGCAGCTCGCGGCCCGCTCCCGCGGGCTTGCCGGCGTTCACAGAGGGAAATTTGGAATGTTTTTTATAGATGAGCTACGGTTCTGAGCCAATTTATTTCGTGAGACAGTTCGATGGCCTTCTCCCTGGGCTGCTGCAGAAGATGCACAAACCGCGCAGCCCCCAGGGCGGCGGGCGGGTCCTCTCTCCTCGGAGCCCTGCACGGAAGGTCAAATGCGAAGCTCGAGGCTGGCGGTCGGGTGTGCACCTTCTGCAGAGGGAGCCGCTGGGGCTTTTGCAAATCCATCCCTAGAAGTGAAGCTGCAGACACTTGCAAAAGAAAAGGGATGTGTTGAGGGGGAAAGCACTGGACTCCCTCCCGCCCCAGAGGGAAGGACAACATAAAAGAACTGAGGAAACCAGAGGCACGGGAGGGAACAAAACCAGCTGAACTTACCACACTGCGAGTGAACTTTTCTAAGGAAGTTCTACGACCTTGCTCACTTTCTGGCTTTAGGAAAAACAAACAAAGGAAAAAAAAGATAGGGAGAAAAATACAGAAAGAAAAAAAAAATCTTCAGCTTACACGTGGTTTCCAAACAGCACAGCGGCAACTAATGGACAGAAAGCGAAACAGGGCGCAGAAACGGGAAGAGAGAAGCAGCCAGCGCTGAATGCGGGGGTCAGTGGGGCAGACAGGAAACAGAAGCCCTGGAAGATGCTGTTCTAAGGAGCAATGAGGTGTGTGTGTGTGTGTGTGTGTGTGTGTGCGCGCCTCCAGGGCTCATTAAATGTCCTTGGGGCTCAGTAGGAGCCACGGCAGCTCTGCAGTCTGCTCACTGCTTTCCACGGGCACTGCCCATGTGCAGGAGCCCCTGGTGGTGTGTTCCTAGGCCCACAGGCAGCCATGGGGAGGGAGAGGGAAGACAAGTGGGGACATAGAACAGTTTAGTTCTCAGGGCCCTCAGGGTGTGCTGATGGGATGTCAAGAAGTGGCTGAGGATCTGGGTTGCGACTTTCCTCTGAGATTTTCCTGCCCGGATCAGCTAGAAAGTTTGCTGCCTTCAGTGTCTCCTTCATGGCCCCCCCACACTGGCTCTCATTCTGGGTCCTTAGAATAAGGAGGCTCTACCCATGTCCTTTGCAAAGGGACCGGAGCTTCAGAGGAAGGTTCTGGAAAGAAAATGCTCTCTGTACCCAGGCAGGTGACCCCTTCCAAGGTTTACTCACAGCCAGCTGCAGGAGGGGCAGGGATTTTCTAGGGAACTCCTAGCTGAGGGGCCCACAAGTGGGGCAAGAGGCAAAGCCCGCGGATACTCCCTAGGGCTAGGTGCTCACTACCAGCAGAGGAGGAGACGGTGTGGTGTGACTCTCTCCCCAGGTGTTCTGCTTGTTCAAGAAGTTTGGGGAGAGAATTAAACCTCCAAAGACCTGCTAGTTTATCCTAGAGCCCTGTCCCAGGGCCTAGAGCCCAAGATTGGGAAATTTGGAGAGAATACCCACTCACATGGACACACACACACACACACACACACACGCAGCAAATAGTGGGAATTAGGGAGCCAAAGAAGCAGTCACGGGTCTGTGGGTGTGCACCATGTGCCAGGCGCAGAGGGGGATAGCCAAGAGCAGCCACCTGCCTGTGTGGACAGGTCAGAAGGCTCCCTTGGCAGTCATGTCTCCACCCCCTCGGCTGGCTGCCCGAAGATAGACAGGGCATTGTAGAAGGAAAACACAACCTAAGGACCCAGCACTCAGAGCCGGGTGGTCTCTCTCCTGGCAAAGGGACCAAAGTTTCCACGCTTGGCCCTGAGCAACACACCAAGGGTCCGCTCTGGGGATGGCAGAACTCAGCTTCAATACAGTGGGCGGCCCAAGGGCATGCAGTTGGCTGTGTCAGGCCGGCCCAGGCCCTGCAGTAAGACCTGTGCCTGTCATCCCTGGGCTGTGGCGACCAAGCTGCTGCTGGCAGAGGGGAGCCCTCGGCTGGGCTCAATCGGGTTCCTCTGCCTCACACAGCCTCTCCCAGGAGCCTGGTGCTTAATTGTCTCGGAGGAGCTGTCAAAACCCAGCTCGCTCGCTCCTTGGGAACTTGGTACATCAAAGTGACTAACCTTATCTTCCCTACTTAGCACAGAAGGTGAGCCAGGGATGAAGGACCAGAGACTGTGTCTCCAGACCTTTCTCAGCAGAAAAGTGAGGCCCATTCATATTCCCTCTCTTAGCAAGAAGTGTGATTCTCACACACCTTTTATGACCTGGACAGTTATAAGCCCATCCCTGAAATCCGAAGATTCTAGGCCTACCTGCAAGTGCCGAGTTACAAATCCAGTCCACACCTGGAGACTCTCAGAAGTGGGGAGAGGGGGGAGGGAGGGGGAGGTAAGTTTTGTTACTATTTTTGGAAACAACCCCTGGCTATTAAAAGGGTGTCAGTGTCTGGGAGGACTTTCTGTCACAAGAATGGCCCTGGGTTCCTCCTCTGAGAAGTCTCCTCTATGAGAGGATCTGGGGGCACAGGCATGCCAGCCCCTCCAGAGCTGGGCTGCATTTTCTCTTTGTGCTCAAACCCTCAGGAGACTGAACAGCCTCTGGCTGCTGCTGGGTGTATAGATAGGCCCAGGCAGCTCAGTCTGCAGAGCCTCAGCATTTCCCCAAATTGTGATCAGTTCTGGGTCATGAGCCACAGGGATAAGAAACTCTTACTTTGACATTCTCCCATGAGATTTGGGCTGGATACCCAAAGTCTCCATAACCTTCCTTGAAAAAAATGGGCATCAGACATTTGTCAGAGCATCAGCCCCTCCTCCTCCATCCTCTTGCAGGGAACTGGCAAGAGGCCAAGATTCACATTTTCCATCACAGCAATGGCACCTGAGAGGCACCTGATGAAGAGGGTGAGGCCACCGAGAAGCTGGGTGTCTGACAATCTGGTATTCCAAGGTCCTTTACTGTCCCCCAGACTATCAGGGATGTCCTCAGGGCTCCTTGAGGGCATGAGAACATATACATGTGCTCATGGAGACTCTGGAATTATGTGGTACCATAACTCTAGCAAAGAGACCAACCAGATATGCAGACAGGACCCTGGCACAGGAGGTGGACAGAACACAGAGGGAGAAAGGCTACCCACAGAGCATGGCGATGGACACCACGTGCCGAGGGCCTGGGGTTGGAAGGCTGGGAGCGGAGAAGAGAGGATGAAGATGCGTATATTCCTCAAGGTACATGGCATGGAAGTCGTGGGATGTGGTGCGAGGAGAGACACGCTTAGCCACACGTGGGCCTCAGATCAGAGCTGGAAAGTGCAGAGGATTTGCAGGAATCATGAGCCACTTTTCAAGCCTCCCCTCTCTCAGACCTCAGGCCCCTCTCGACTCTCCCTTCCCTCCTCCCAGGAACCCAGATGAGTTCATCCCTGCTTCGGTCACCCCTCACCACCTGCATGCTGAGGGTACCTGGGTCCCCAAATCCAGGTGCTAAGGGCTGCTGGGAACTATGACATCATTCTCATGGAGGAGGGGGAAGGAGCTAGGATATGGCTACTTCTTGGTTAAGAGAAAACACACACTGCGGGCGGATGAGGGAGAGGAAGTGGGTGTCAAGGAGGGAATGATCCCAACAACGACTTCCGGTGCCAGATGGCCCCCTTGAAACCTACAAGGTTTTCTCTCCAACTCTGAGCTGGTGAGGGAGACAATCTGTGGGGTTGTTGTTGAGGGCGGGGTGGGGGGGGGAGGGAATTCGTACTGAGGGGCTCTCTCTGATTTCCTAAGGGGTTCACTGATGTCCTGCCAGCCGGGTACTCATGTCCTAAGCCACTGTTGTCACACTCCCTGCTGTGGGCACAGCTCGCAGTTGGAGGTAATGAGCACATGGAGACAGGATGCCACACCATGGGCCTGGGGGTGGTGACAATCCTAACTGTCTTCCATTGGAGCGGGAGTAGATAGAGGAGGGAAAGAAGAAAAGAAAAGGTAAATAAAACCCCAGGGGTGATATTCTCACTTCACACCGGCAGCAAGCAGCAGGCAAGGATCAATAGTGCTAAGAAAGGCAAGGCTGCCCTTTCCAAAGATACCTTCTTCTTGGCCAGCAGCAAGTCCTGGTAAGCATTTGACCGGAGGAAGCGGGCGTAGCTGTCACTCTTCATCAGCTTGTAGATGTGCTCCTGGGAGGGAAGGAGGCAGAAGACACAAGAAGGGACTGTCAGCCGATACGAAAGGGGATTACCACCCAACCAGCCACCGTTTTAGGGGAGAAATGAATGAACCCAGAAAGCGTGTGTGCACCTAGGAAAACTTGCACCCTGCTTGCCTTGTGTTTTTGTCTCACCCATAAACACCAAACAACACATCTTATTTTTTGGAATAAAAGGCCTTTGAGGATTGTGTTCTTGGTGCCATGTTAGGATGCAGTACTGCTTAATGATGAAACCACAGGCAGAGCAATGAGAAGAGACAAACTATTGACACACTCAACCACTTGGTTGAACCTCAGGGAATTACAGTGAGTGAAAAAGCCCCAGAAGGCTACGCACTGGAGGACTCCACTGATGCAGCATTCTTTGAGCGACAAGTTAAAGAAACAGACAACAGACTAATGGTTGCCAGAGACTAGAGATGGGAGAGGGAAGGAGAGGGAAGGAGAGGGAAGGAAGGTGTGATGAAAAGACAATAGAAGGATTCTGTGGCGATGGAAGGATTCTGTATCTCAGCACATCTTACACATGTGAGAGTTGTACATTGTACAGAGCTAAACACACACATTACACACGAGTACCAGCAAAATTAGGAAATCTGATAAACTCAGTGGATATAGCAATGTTGATATCATGGCTATGATGTTTTACTATAGTTTTGCACATGTTACCATTAGGGGAAACTGGATAACTGGTATATCTCTGTATTATTTCTTTAAAAAATTTATATATATATATATATATATATATATATATATATATATATATACACACACACACACACACACACACACACACACACACACACTAGAGCACTCGAGGCTTAATGCAGAAAGATTCGTGCAAGAATAGGCCTTCCTTCCCCTGGATGCTGGCACCAGCTTCCCTCCAGCACCTGGGACCTGGGCCTTCATTCTGGCCGCCACCTTCTACCTTTGCTCCAGCCTTGCCACCCTCCCATGGCTCACTCCACCCCTGCGTCCCCCTCTCATAGCAGGCATCCTGCCCTGCTCTGGCTGCTCTGCGCCTGTGCCTGCATGCTGCCCAGAGGCCCAGAGCAGCTGGGGCAGAGCAGAAAGCCATCTTTGTCACATCAATTTGCATATTCCCTCCTTATTGGCTGTGGGCACCACCATATTTGTCGAGGAGTGATGGTCAATTTGCATATTACACTTTTATTAGATAGAATATATATAAATTGATTTCAGGGAGGAAGGGAGAGAAAGAGAGAGATAGAAACATCAATAATGAGAGAGAATCATTGATAGGCTGCCTCCTGCACACCCCACACTGGGAATCCAGCTGCAACCAGGGGATGTGCCCTGACTTGGAATCTAACTGTGATCTTCTGGTTTATACTTCAATGCTCAACCATTGAGCCACACCAGTTGGACTGTATTATTTCTTTCAACTGCCCTGGAATCCAGAAACATCTCAAAATAAAAAAAATTTAATTAAAAAAGAACTCCACATGCAATGATACAATTGGATCGGTTGTGTATGTCCAGGCCACCAGCTCATCCTGGAAGGGTGCCCTTGGAAGCAGATCATGCGGCACGTGGGCAAATATGCCATGCCTGAGGCTCACATCCAGGAGGACAGATGCTGTGGCATGGTGCCTTCTCTTCTCCTGGGCTCCTAGAGGTACTTAAATTCTGAATTTGGCAACAAATTTCACCCTTGACTTCCCCATAGCCTCCTGGTCCCTTCCTAAAAGATCTGTCCTCGTTAAGGACAGAGAAAGCCTGGTTCATTAAAAGAGGGGGTTTGTCCACGAAAAAGGGCTATTTATCAGTTGAACTGGAATATAGCTCAGCTGCACAGGAAGCCTGGCTGTCGCAGGAAAGGACCCGCGAGGAGGTGAGAGGGATTGTCAGGCAGAAGCTGGCCTGGTAAGGAAGCATCTTCCCGGATGCACAGCATAGTTCACCCTATGAAGCTGGACCAGAGCTCCAGTGCTTGGGAGAAAGGAGAGCTGGTCAGGGAGGAAACGGCTCAGCTGGTGCTAGACTGGTCCTTAAGCACCTCTTTCTCTGGTACTCTTCCAAGGGGAGGGGTGGGAAAGAGTCCCCTCTCCCCAACAACCTCACATTTCAGAGATACCTGGCCAGACTGCTGGCACATCTAGAGGAAGTTGAGGCAAGACCCTCTCCCTACCCATCACAAAATAAAGTGAAAGCAGAGAGCAGAAAACCTCTTGGGCACCTTGTGAATCCCTCTCTGCCCATTTTCAGTTGGACCATAAGCAGACCTATCAGGGCATCAGCTTCATTCTTCCTCATACAGTGGTGCCTCGCATAAAGAACGCCTCGCACAGCGAACGCTGCACACAACAAACTTCACAGCAACAGGACAATGCTCAAAGGGAAGCGTCATCTGATAACGAGGAGCAACAATCAAACAATCAACCAATCCCAACTGCTGACATCAAGAACATCCTGGTCAAATGGAAAGCAGTTCAGGAGTTTACCAATGCCCACTATCCGGATTCAGCTGAAGCAAACAGGATCAACGATCTTTACTCCGATACTCTTGTCTGTTATTTCCGGCAGATGTTGGAGAAAAGAGAAAAACAAACGACTTTGGACAGGTTTTTCATGAAACCATCGGCCAAAAAGCAGAAAATGGATGAAGATGTGCAAGATTCGGTAGACTCTACTTAGTCTGTCTTAAAATTAAAAAAATGTGTTTTTTTTTTTTAAATTATGTTTTTAGATGTATCTAAATAAAAATAATAACAAAAAATTTATCTTTTTTTATGTCATCTTAGCATATTTTATGCTACAGAACGAATTATTTTTTTTTAACATGTATTGTTATGGGAAAACGCGTTTCACATAACGAACTTTTCGCATAACAAACTTGCTCCTGGAACGAATTAAGTTTGTTGTGTGAGGCACCACTGTATTTATAAAAGCAAGGTGCAACCCTATTAATGGGAATGGGCCCACTGCAAGGAGCCAAGAGAAATTAGCTAGTGGCTTGGATCAGAGCCTGCTTGCTAGTCCAGATGTGTTCAGATTGAATACATTTAGTGAGAACATGCCTCGCCGTTTTCCTGTAAGTTCCAGACAAAGTCCAGCCCATTCTAGTTTTAAGTTCCTCAAGGGAACAATATGTTTTGATCTCGTCTGTGCATAGCATCCAACATAGGGTCAAATGTTAGTGGAACTTACATTGTTTCTTGGTTCATAGAAATGCTTCTTTGAATTTAACATTCAACATGTTTGCCGGCTCCATACTAGTTTTGGTTTATGACCTGATCAGTTCCTGCTCTCTGCATAGGAGAGTGGGGATCATGCTCAGTCCCAGGGAAGCCCATATGTGAGCATCTTGGTCCATCCTGATGGCCTCAAAGCCCAGACTGAGGGACGTGATGGTCTTTGCATTTTTTTCCTTTTTTTATTGTTTAAAATATTACCTATATTAGTATATATATATCTCCTTTTTCCCCATTTGACCTGGTCTTTGCATTTTTTTTGTCTCTTTAAATTGTCCTAGCACTTAGCCGAAACCGGTTTAGCTCAGTACATAGAGCGTGGGTCTGAGGACTGAAGGGGTTCCAGGTTCGATTCCGATCAAGGGCATGTACACTGGTTGCGGGCACATCCCCAGTAGGAGGTGTGCAGAAGGTAGCTGGTCGATGTTTCTCTTTCATCAATGTTTCTAGCTCTCTATCTCTCTCCCTTCCTCTCTGTAAAAAATCAATAAAATATTAAAAAAATAAATTGTCCTAGCACTTAATTCTTAGGTACAGCAGTACAAAAGAAGGATCATTTTCTTATCCTTTGAGACAGCATAGAGGGACCTGGAGAGTATTATGCTAAGTGAAATAAGCCAATCAGAGAAAGGCAAGTATCACATGATCTCACTCATGTGTGAAATCTAATGAACAAAATAAAGTGATGAACAAAATAGATCCAGAGACATAGAAGCATGGAACAGGCTGTCAAATCTCAGAGGGAAGCTGGGGGCTGGAAGAGATCATTCAAAGAACTTACATACATATATGTACAACCCATGGACACAGACAATAGGGTGGTGAAGGCCTGGGGCGGGGGTTGGGGTTGGGCTAGAAAGATCAATGGGGAAAAAGAGAGGGACATACGTAATACTTTCAACAATAAAGATTTTTTAAAAATCTTAGGTAGAAATGTTAATGCAGAGGGAAAACGACTCACTGTCTCCTTCTTTTCAGCTCAGACATCACTTCTTTGTAGCCAACATGGCTAGATGGCTCTTGAATCATTTGAAGAGACCTGTCAGTTATTCCCGGGACCTTCTCTAAATCCCTGTCCAAAGCAACAGTTTCCTGCCTGTTGTTCTGACTTCCCGGAGGAATCGGAATTCCTACTATGCCTCACAAAATACCCCATTACACAAGAGGCGTAGGGAAGCCTCTCCTAGCCCAGCCCTCCTGGCCTTGGCAACAAATTACATCCTGCTCCAGCTAATTCGTCCAGCATCATTATGTGCAGGAAAAGCCTAGTCCACGGAAAGAAAGACCTTGTGAATTAAAAAAGAGCTGGATAAAGCAGATGCCTAAGCACGTAATCTCACAAATACACCAGCAGTTATTTACTGAGCATCTTGTAGGTGCCAGACCCTGTGTCCGGCTTTGAGATTGCAGCCCGAGAAGTCAGAAGAGGTCCCTGCTGTTGTAAAGATTCTATTAGGCAAGCCTGATGCACAAAGATCACAGACGGCTACTATCTAAGACGTGTCAGATCCAAGTCACTATTTAATTTTGTTTGGCTCCTTGCAGTGGGCCCATTCCCACTGGTAAGGCTACACTCTGCTTTTGTAAATAGGAAACACATTTGAGCTAAAGTCTATAAAGAAGTGAAAGTAGAGAGTGCTGTGAATGGGTATGAATGGCCAGATGTGGGGAATTGTTGTCTATCAACCAGAAGGGTCCTCACCAGAGTAGGAAGACCTTAGCAGACAGGAATGGGAATTGAGGGTAGGGC